CTGCAGAATCCCCTTTTTAATTCATCAACCATTATCTCTGAAAAAACTATTTTCAACATTTTACTATTTCCGTATTTCTTTATTTCATGTACCTGTTTCTTACTGCTTCTCCTTCCCCTCTTTTCCCCATATCTTTTCACATTCCAGTTTATATCCCTCTCTTTCTTAATATCTTCCTTTCCCCTTTTCTGCTGGGTCTTTCTGCCTTTCCCAGGTACTCCCTTTGATTGCCTTCTTAGATCTTTCTTCTTTCCCCACTTCTTCGTAGTGTTCTTTGTGTTAATTGTCTATTTAAAATGTCTTCTCCTTGAGTCAACTCCTCCTCCTCTGAAGCTCTTTCTTCTTGTTCTTCAATCACCATATCCATTTTTTCTAACACAGAGCAAAGTGATTCACCTCTTTCCTGTAGTAATTATCTCATATTTTTAAGTTCCATTTTTAATTCGCGAAGAGCTATCATCATTACACACTCTTATATTTTACGATCGTTAAAGTCCACAAAAAACCCACTTTTACTTTCCTTCTTTCTTTTTTCAATTTTCTGAAGTTCTCAGTTATTCTAGCCCAGGGTCTATGCCAAAACATCAATTAATCCCACAGTCAGTCTTTCCTTGCTTTTTCCTTTATTCTGGTTCTGCTTTCACTTTCTAAGATTCTTACTTTGTTTCAATATTTCTTTAATGTTATATCCACACAAGTTCATTCAGAGACAGGATGCTTTCCGTTTTGTTTGAGCTCAAGTTTTTGTCAAAAGGTGGCACTCTCCATTATACAAAGTCTTCACCTTTTCCCCCTATTTTTTTATTTAGGGTTTTTTGAACCTCAGTATTCCAGCACAGTCCGGTCTCCAATTTGTAAATATTATTATTATTATTTGACAATCTTAAGTCCAGCTTTATTTTATGCCTGTTTATTCCCAAAACATTTTAGTCCAATTTAGTTATATCTTTAGTTCCGGCTTCTTCCTTTCCCAGTTCGAAGCCCCACTTAGCTGTCAAAAATATTTTCTTATTTTTTTTCCAGTCCCTTTGTAATTTCACCACTCACTTTTCTTTTCTTAAAAATTCCATGTTACCTTAATCCCGGGGTACTTTTGTTTAGTTGTATTGCCCAGTTGTCCCGGTTCAGATGTTATCCACCTCTTTCTTCCCTCCTGCACAAATCTTAATCCAGCTGAGTCCTCCTCTTTGGGGTGGCCATTTTAAACCACCGCTGCAGTCATCTTCGGGGGGGGGAAAGACCAAGCCCAGGGGGGGAGATGCGGCTCCCCTCAACCTGGCTTGTGGCTTCCCCTTACTCCACCACCCCTCTAAGCCAGCTTCAGCCCCTAATCGTAATGATCAGGGCTCTCCAACGAAAGAGCACAGACCATAGCCTCAGAGAGTCACGATCTGTGGTCTGTCAGCAAGGAGGCTCCACCTTCTTCCTCAACCATGCAGCTTTCTTGGCAACCTTATGGAAGTGGTTTTCCACTGTCTTTTTCCAGGATGGTTTTGATTTTCGAACCTGACTGGACCCTGGTTTTCCTTGATAGTTTTCTGTTCACAGCTGATCCAGGCTGGACCCTGCATCGCTTCCTAGTTCAGAAAGGGTCAACCTGGTGCTGCCACCTGCAGGTCTGTGAATATTTTTTTAATTACAGTACTTCCTTATGGCAATTGGCCTTCTAGAATAGAGGCTTCTTGGAGGCTTCTTTATTACCATTATTATTATTGTTGTTATTATTTTAGCATTTTCCTCTGCCCATGGGGGAATGAAATTAATTTTTTGAAATTAATTAAGTATTTCTTGTTTCTGTTCTAAAAATCTTTCCCTCCCCCCATCAGGGCATTCTTCCTGCACAAGAAAGCCATCTGTACTCTACACAACCTTCTATGCAGTCATGACTCTGATAGCCGCTACAGCGACCCTACTGTGCGAGCCCAAGTCGCTCAGCTCTATTTGCCTCTGATTGGCATCATCATGGATGCTCTACCGCAGCTCTATGACTTTACAGGTAAGGCAAGGGGTGAGGGGTGCAGAGTAACACTGCCAAAGGAGGCCATTTTTCTAGTCCACTGTTGCCAGTGGTAAGTCTGCTATCGTCAGGTCTTTAAGTAGTTGGTGTATTAGCTTCACTACAGCCATATTCTTAAGTCTAATTGAAATATCAAAAAATTATGTTGTTGGTGCATTTGAAATGTGTTACCAACAGGGAAGCAGTAGAAAATTCCAAATGAAAAGTAGCTCCATCCATGCAGACTTTTTGAAATAAGGACCCTTAGTTAGAGTTTGCAGTGATCCAACCAACACACAAGTAAATAATTCAGCAGGATTCATTTATGAAGAAACCTATGTACAATAATATAAAACATGATGCATGTATACAATACCCATGCAGCCGTTGCAACATGGTAGCAAATACAAGAACAAGAAGCAGAAGCCAGTCAGAACCACCAGAACTCAGAAGCTCTATATTTATACAGACCAGTTACCCTAAGTCACACCCAGTCTCCAAATTGTCTGACATGACTCATAGCGTTGTTTTTATTTTTTGTAATGTCAATTTTTAATAGTTTTATAATTTAATAGTTTTATAATGCATTATGATTCATATACGCTTGGTCTTTTACTATAAAGCACTGAACTAAATTTATAGAAAATCAGCTGACCAATGAGGTCCCCCTGTCCTGGTATATCTAGTAAAGTCTAGTCTAGTAAAGAGAAGGACCAGGGGAGACATGATAGCAGTCTTCCAATATTTGAGGGGCTGCCACAGGGAGGAAGGAGTCAAGCTATTTTCGAAAGCGCTTATAGGCCAGACAAGGAATAATGGATGGAAACTGAACAAGGAGAGGTTTAACCTGGAAATAAGGAAAAAATTTCTGACAGTGAGAACAATCAACCAATGGAACAGCTTCTCCCGCTTGGGTCTCCCGCTTGGGCGGGGGGTTAGACTAGATGACCTACAAGGTCCCTTCCAACTCTGATTATCTGTTATCTGTTATATCCGAGGTGTCAAAATGTGTGGAAGTAGTTGTTCTCCTTCTAAGTAGGAGTGATTTACATTCACAACTAGTGATATACACCTTTGCTATCTGGTTTGCTCTGCCATTTTGTTATAATGATCATTACAAAAAAGTCAAGCCAAGATGACTTTTTGCTAGCTTTGTTTTCTACATCTGACCAAATTGTTTACAATTGCTACTTTTATTAAATATAACCATTATATTTCAAAGCTAAAATCAGCAGACTTTCTTTATATTTTATACTGCTTGTAATCTCTTCGGCAACCTGTTATAGCTTTTCTTATCAAATTTTCTATTTCTGCTGTTTGTTCTGATTTTTCAGTTAAATCATTGGTGATGGGTAGAAATTAATTACCTATATTTATGTCATTGATTCCAGTATACAGATGATAAATGCCAGCATTAATAATATATTTTATATTTGTTCTGTACTGTTCATTTCTTTCTTTCAGTGGATCTTTTTGATACACAGAGAGCAATGTATCAAATTAAAATAAAATCTGTTGATACATTATGATTTGCTGGACATAGAAATAGGGACATGATTATTTCATATAAATCCATTTTCCTTCCTTACTTCTCTCTTTTTCTTAATTAATGCATGTATTTGTAATTTCTGCTGTCACTAAATAATGCTTTGTCACTGAAGATAACATAAACTCCTGTTGGTGGCACAAACAACTATAAAATATATTGAGCAAATAAAATAGAGTGGCTTTTTTAAAAAACAGTGATCAATTTTTGATTATAAAACTTTTTAAAATGAGAGTTACCTCAGAAAACAATCAAACTGGAGATGAATACTGTGTTTTCCTGAAAATAAGACCCAACCAGAAAATAAGCTGTAGCATAGTCTTTCAGGATGTTCGTAATAAAAGCTCTATCCCCCAAATAAGCCCCGGGTAAGATTTTTAGACCTTGGGGGTAGCGTGGCCAGCACAGGATGCAGCAATCGCATGGGGACCAACAGTCTCCAGCAGCAGCCCTAATCCAACAGCCCCTTGGCCAGCGCACTCTGGGGCTGTGCAACCCTCACATCACAGGTGAATCCGAGCGCTGCAATTGCTGGGTCAGCCATCCAAGCAGCCAGTGGAGGCAGAGGCTTGGGGGGGGGGGGCAAGTGATCCAGATGTACCTGCCCCATCATGGCTGTGGGCAAGCAAAGACAGATGGTAGGATGGGTGGGCGGCTACATGACATGTCTGGCAGGCCAGATCATGTGCCTCCCCTTCTGCACCTCCGCGTCCGCCTGCTGCTTGGAGGGCTGGACCGGCAGTTGCAGCGCTCAGGTTCACCACTGCATAGGCTGCACAGACCCAGAGTGCACTGGCCAAGGGGTCAGCAGGCTGCAGCTGCTGCAGGAAACCATTAGCCCCCAGCGGGGTAGGGCTGAGCTGGAGCCAGGGAGATGGGGGCTAATCCCTTGCCATCACCCTGATACTGTTTTTCCCTGATGCCCTAATGCATCTTTTGGAGCAAAAAAAAAAAAAAAAAAAGACTAGGTCTTATTTTTGGGGAAACATGGTAATTGAATCCTATATCGGATTATTATTTTTTTGTGAAGAACAAAATAGTTTAAGCAGAATTAAAGCAAGTATTATTGAAGGAATGACCATTGAGAGATGGAGCGAGAGGCTTGTGAAATAGCAAACAAGAATATTACAAAGGAATGAAGATTTGGAAAGGAACTTGAAGAATATTAGACCATAAAGAGCCTTTCAAACCTCCGGTTTGAAAGGCTTTGGTGGCAGCAGGAATCCGCGATCGTGTGCGGTTCCTGCTGCGCTCGCCACTGGCATGCCCCCGATCCAGCTGGATTTGGGGGTTAATAGTCACCCTGTAGAGGTGACTGAAGATAGAGGAGGCCCAGCAGGGGTCCGGGTGGATCGCAACCCCCCTCCTCAGCTGGCTTAACTCCTTTCTCCAAAAGCGGTGGAGCGGCGGTCAGCAATGGCCGCCACAAAGAAACCTTCATCCAGACAAGACTGTGCAGGAGGAAGCTGAGAAAGTGAAAGTTTTTGGCTGAACCGGGATAACAAGTAACATCTAAATACCCTGGAAATTCAACTTTCTTAAAGATACATTGTTCCCTAAGAAGATTGTAAAAAGCGGTAGAAGAAAGTAAAAAGGGAAAGTTTTTTTTTTCTCACTCTCCTTCCCTACAGAAATAGCAGAAGGAAATCGGAAAAACCTGTCTTGGCAACAGAAGGTAATTAAATTTGAAAATTAAAGCCAAGGGGATATTAAAGATTTCTGAACATTGGAATCAAAAAATTTAAAAAAAATTTTTTTTGCTATAAGTGGGAAGGGAGAGATAAAGAACTTATATTAAGACTTTGCTGGAGGAGACTGCTTGGAGCTTATAAGATCAGAGACAAATTGTAATAACACTTCTAAAAAATACATTTGGAACTTTGCAAATTGATTCTACCCCAAGAAGAGAAAGTATAAAAAGAAGAAAGTGCTAAATGAAACAGTTTGTGTTGATTTGGATTGCTTGGTGACTTTGGGACTTTTGGAAACTATTTTTTGAAAGACTAAAAACTTTTGGGTTGTTTAAAAAATTTCACAATGGCATTATCTGTTGAAGAATTGAAAATGGAATTTCAAAAGTTAAGAGAAGAGGAATAAGAAGGGAAGGGCTCTTCTGGATCTGTTTTTCACTTTTTGGAAATGGCGATTTCTACCTACCAGGAATTACAACAACAAGAAGGCTGGGATGAAGAAGAAGCCATCTTTAATGAACAAATAACTTTAGTTGAGGAAGAAAAGGAAAAGAGGGGAAAGAGAATGGAAAATTCAAGACTTAAAAAAACAACCAAAAAAGGGAAAAATAAGGTGAAAAATCGATACAATGTCAGAAAGCAACAGAAAAGAGGAATACAACAGAGAAGGGAGATTAAGAGGGTGAAGAGTAAGAGATGGGGGGGGTAAAAAGGCTAGATTGGACAAGAAAGGAAGGGAAAAAGGGAAGAGAAGTTACAAAGGCTTGAAACAAGATGTAAAAAAACAGATCTTTTTCAGAGACAAAGGGTAAAATACAATTAAAAAAGAGATTCTGCAAAAACACACAAGATTGTATTGTAGTATTGTTATTATGAAATAGAGTTAGAAAATTGGAATATTATATGATTTAATAAAATATTAAAGGAAATAGGTAAAATGTTTAAGATTTAATGGTAGAGTTTAATTTGCTATGGATTTTGTTTCAACTATATTATAAACGTATTATTTTCTTATTTTAAAATGTACATAGAATGTACTAAGCAGAATCAGAATGGAAACTATATATTATCTTAAGTGTTAAATTTAGGGGAAAGATAGAACCCAGGAAGAGAAAGTTTAAAAAGAAGAAAGGGCTAAATGAAATAGCTTGTGTTTACAGAAGAGAGTGGAGACCAAGAGGGTGGAGAACAAGAGACGGTGTGTGTGTGTGTGTGTGTGTGTGTGTGTAAAAAGACTAGGATTACAAAAGAGATTCTGCAAAAGTACATAAGATTGTATTGTTGTATCTACACTTGAAACAATGTTAGAAAATTGGATCTTTATATGATTTAACAAAATACCAAAAAATGTTTAAGATTTAATGATAAAGATTAATATACTATGGATTATTGTTTCAATTATATTATAAATTTATTATTATTTTTATTTTAAAATGTAGTAGGTAGTTTTAGAATGTGCTAAGCAGAATCAGAATGAGAATTATATATTATTTTAAGTGTTAAATTTAGGGGAAAGATATAAAGGCGTCATACTTCAATTAGTGATTACAGGAGAAATATTGTGTTAATGAGAAAAGAAAAATAGATGATTGAAACAGAACGGACAAAAGATATCAGTATAATGATCTAAATCGAGATGAAATAAATAAAATAGAATTAAGAGAGTGAAAAGAGGGGAGAAGCCATATAGAAAATATAGAATGGTAAATAAGATATGAAATGGTATATAAAGTGAGCATGAACTTGATTTATGTCTATACCAAAAGATGTAACCCGGGACTAGGCCGCTTTCCAAAAAGAAGTTTTATGTTTTTATGTTTTGTGTTTTGTTTGTGTATGTTTGTTTATTGAAAATTAATAAAAAAAATTTTTTTTAAAAAAACAAAAGAAAGTTCTGGGGCTTGATCTAGGAATCTCACAGCTTAATTGTGGAACCTGATCATTAGGCTTTAGGATTGGGTCAACTCAGATATTTGACCTTGGGGAAAGAAATATACATCTGCCTTGCTTAAACCCTATAGTTGGAGACAAGTTGAGATCTCTTGGGATTGGCTGGATGTGCTTCCTGTGTTCTCATCCATGATTTTCGACTCCTAAGAATTCTGTAATGGCCATACTGGCTTCAGAATAGTGGGAACTGAAGTCCTTGCATGCCACTCACGCTGGCAAAAGCTGGATTGTCCCTACATCTGTCCTATGGAATAATATTTCTCCTGAGATAGATATGGCTTCAACCTGCTGACCTTTAGAAGCTTCTTAAAAACCTGGTTCTACACATTGGCCATGGCAATTTATGTACCTGTTCATTTGAGGTTTAATTTTTTAACTTCCCATAGTAGGATTTTATGCTTTTTGCAAGGTGTCTTGAGTCATTTGTCAATTGAGCAGCCTTATAAATAAAACAAATCAACAAAGAAAATATTGAATTTGCTCTTCTGCATTTACTTGGTCAGCATTGTAGAACTTCTTGGCATTTCCTTTCATATAGATTCCAACAGCCCAGGCTTGGTCGTGTCAGTACCTTTTTTTTTCCAAACACCAACTTATTGTTCTAATAACAATGGTTGGCCTTTACTTTAAAAAGAAAAAAATGACTACCTCCATGGCTTCAAACACATTTTAATTTTAGTGTGCCATTTCATTGTGTTTTTACGATATTTTAATCAGCGGATGATGTGTTGATTTTTGTTAGCTACTTTTAATATCTAAACACAGAAATGTTTTGTTACTGATTTATTTTCATAGATGGAACACCATTAAAGTGGCTGACTGGATGGAAAAAACTTACTTTTCTTTCTATCACTCAAACACTAGTCAATTCTGTTTTACAGAGAACCACCTCCAGAGAGGACGGCTTGCTTCAGTGATGGTTGACGATGGAAATGGAGATGGCAGCACCATTAGCCAGTCAGTTGCCATGGCCATTGCAGGTTCTCCTTTGCCTCATACTCATCGGTCTACGGTCTTCCAAATGCCATCAATGGTGAGTGTCTATTGATCTTGGGAAATGGGAACATACAGTAGAACAGAACATCACACTCTGGATTTGAAGCTTCACAATTTCCAGCTTTGAGGAAATTTCCTCTCAGAGATGAGATCATGTGCGTTTTGGATTTGTATCTCTCCCAATGCCTTGAATCCAGCCACACAAGAATTCTTCGTTATACCCATAGATCTCAGGAGACAATCCAGCAAACAGATAGGAACTTGCCCTCTCAGCAGCCTTCTCATAATCATCCACACATGCTGAATATTGTGGGACATCCCAGAATAAAAGGCTCTCAAATGCCAAGTTAGGGAGTGGCCCCTGAATACATCTATTGTGCATATCCTTTGATTAAAACAGTATCTTGAGCAAACTTGAACCAAGCTTGATAATAAGCATCATAAACCAAAAAAAAGGCAGTGCAGGTCATTTATTCTGGATGGCATCTAAAAGCTGTAGAAGAGATATGAAGCTGCCATGTAGCACGTTAATTCATGCAAGCTAGTCTATTCTTTTTGGTTGTGAGTGGTAGTGTGTTTCAGGTTCCAGGCTGGAGTTTTCTGTTCTAATTGGAGATGCCAGGGATTGAACTAGAGCCATCTTCACGTAAAGCACCTGCTTGACCACCAAGATATAACACTTGCCTGCAGATACAACTCTTTCCCCCCTCCTTTGGATGGTACCAGTTCTTCCAATTAGAGTAGATTAGATCAATGAACTCCTATCATGAACATCATAAAACATGTTTAGAGTTTGTTCATGATCTGTTCTGTGTGGCTTTTGTTTGTCTGTAGCCTCCCCGCCAGTACAGTATGTTGTCTGCTGAGGCAAGTCGCAATCTGCTGATCTGTCTTCTCTGGGTACTGAAGAATGCTGATGGGGCTGTGCTACATCGTTGGCTGGTTGACCTCTCAGCTTTCCATGTGAACCGTCTTCTTGATTTACTCTACCTTTGTGTCTCCTGCTTTGAATACAAGGTTAGAAGAAGATTGAGAATTATATTTTGATTCCCTTCATCTCCTTTAAAGATTGAGATAAAAACAAGAATACTGTCTTTGGCTCATATACTATTTCCCCAGAAGTTGGTATGAAAGCCAAAAATATAATTCATACACTTTTTTGTCACAAGCTCCTAACCTGAGTATAAAATCTTTGTCTAAAAGCAACATGGTACTTAGGAAGAACTGAAAATATATAATAATATATTGAATTTTTAAGCAAAACTTAACTATAATTTAGCCTGTGAAAGAGTTGAATGAATATCAATATAATTAATTCACCTGAGTCAAATAGCAGGATAGTAAAACTGAATTTAAAAAGTCAATTATTCTTGTGCTGTGCTTTAGTATGCTCAGCAGAACAGGTTGGTTATGGTTAGGGACAGGAAAGAGTGATGTATCTTTCCAAAGTCAGAAAATTTCTTCTTAGAGTCTTCTGTGTGGATACTGGATGGGAAGACAAATGCAGGAAAAAAATAAACCCAGTGACTTAAAAGTACTTCAATTTGGCCCCCATGTTATCAGCATTTTCATAAAATATTGAGAAATCTCTTGAGTTTTTTAAAAATGGATTGTTAATAGCAGTGAGTGGAAATGGAGGGAATATGGGGTTATTAATGAAATTTTGAAATGGGCTGAGTGAAACTGAGATGTGACAGTGTTCTAGAGCAGTGGTCCCCAACCTTTTTTGTGCCGCGGCCCGGTACCGGCATCACAAAATCATCCGCGGCCCGGTACCGGCATCAGCACGCATGGCAAGGTGAGCCGAGCGACCGGCCAGCCAGCCGTCCTCCACTTCTCCCTGCCACCTTCAACTCCTCCTTTGTACCTGTGTCGATGGGCTTTGCGACGGCTTCGGGACGGTCGCTCGGCTCGCCTTGCCATGTGTGCTGAAAGAATCCTCGTGCCTTAGTTTTGTTCGAAGCCGCCCCCCCCCCCTCGATGAAACTAAGGCGTGAGGATTCTTTCAGCACCCAAATGCTGCTTTTTACCCGGAAAAGCTCACCGGAAGCACTTTTTCATCAAAACAAGATGGCGGCACCCAGCAAACTGGCGGCCCGGTAGAAATTGTTCCACGGACCGGTACCAGTCCGGGGACCGGTGGTTGGGGACCCCTGTTCTAGAGTATCTGGTGCTGAGATTGTAAGCTGATTTGGCTTCAGCACCAATACTTTTAGTGGACCCAACAAATCATGATGTTCCTTGCTGAACTCCTGAATAGCCCTTTCATTACTTTATTCTAAGGGAAACTATTTTTCCTATTTCTGAAGAACTGTGGGCAATTGGTTGGCAGATCTTGTTCCTGCAGTCAAGTATCTTCTTCTTTCTTAATGAGGACTGATGCCATCCCATAGGGCAAAAAGGCCTTTGACCGCATCAATAGCCTGACCTTCAAAAAATCTCTGGACATGAAGGCGCGACTGGAGGAAGCCATCTTAGGCACTATTGGGGCACGTCAAGAAATGGTTCGACGCAGCCGAGGTGAGACAAGCCAAAGTGCATGAGGCAGTGGAACTGCTCCCACAGTTCCCTCTTCCCACAAGACGGACCATTTCTGGGCCACATTTACTGCAAATTTAGCCAGTGGTAGTAAAAATTCTGAAGAAAACAAACACATTGGATTTGATTTTCTTTAGTTTTTAGATCGGTTCAAATGGAAAAAATTAAGAAAGAAGTTTCTATTTGTTGTAGTGCTATGGAAATGAATCCATAATTAAAGACATCCTGATTTTTCAATGTTGCACCATGATAAAATCCTATTTGTAGTAAGGATGTTCTGTTTGAAGTAAAATCAAGAACCCAGAGGGGTCTCCCATTCAGGGGGAAGGATGAGAGGAAGAAGCTGGTCATTTAAGCACTTTCCCCTCAAAACACATTTTGTTTTGCAGTGGTGAAAGCCAGATCCTTTCCCCTTTTTTTCAGCAGAGCGCAGCCCTTTTGGAAACCAAGAAAATGTTCGCTGGAGGAAGAATGTTGCTCACTGGAGACAGAATTCGGACAAGGTGGACAAGTGCGTTTGTGGGCAATTCTGACATCTGCACATTGAGAGGCCTTCATCCTGCAGTGGATAGACAATAGCTAGGATGAGGGTGATGGGCATATTCTGCTGCTGGGGAGTCAGTGTGATACATATTTGATCAGACGAGTAACTTGGAAAAGCAGGTTTTTTTTTCTCATTTCATTTTAATTACATGTACACATTTCTTCCAAAGAAGAAGAAGAAATTGATTTGGTTATTGCATGTTACCTTTCAGAGTCACTTCATTGGGCTTTTCTTATTCTAGCAGCTATATGAGTGGAAGCCTCTGGAAGTAATACAAAAGAAATTAAATAACGCACTTCTCATGTCAGTTCAGAAGTTGGGAGATAGAGACCTTAGTCTTAGCTTCATCTCTTTCTGTGAATTTCAAAGGTTTCCTTCAGACCCAAAAGGCAGTAATGCAACCTTTACTCTTTGAACCCTTCCATTGTAATCCAAATTTTACCTTTCCCAAAGTGAGTTAATTCATAGTACAACAATACTATAATTTGGTTCAGTAATACAATAATAACCTTTCACTGCACGTAAAAGTGTAGTCATAAGAAAAGCCCTGAAGGACCAGACCTTAGGCCTATTGAGTCCAGCATTCTGTATCATATGCTACCTGATATCATTCTATATTATCTAGCATTCCATAACCTACAATCAAATAGATGCATTTGGGAAGTTTCCAGGCAAGACTGGAAAGCTATTGTCCTGTTCTACAATCATACGTACCAGTCATGTCCCAGCAAACAGTATTCAAGGTTTTTTTTTTAAATTTCTGTTTCTCTGTCCATTGCCTTCCATTAACCCAACAGCCTAATTTTGTTCCTATTTGATCATTTTTCTTGGGAAAAGATAAACCAACAGTTTTGCGGTAGCCAGTTACTTTCACATAATGTCTTGGGGGAGACTCCCTTTTGGGAAAAATCATTCTGCTCTTTTGCTCTGAAGGCAAATGAGGTGGCCCAGTGATCAGAAAACAACTAAATAACTTTGCAAATTTGAGACATTTTGCATGACTAGATATTAATTTAATGTTCACTTTCGTTATCATTTACATAGGTCAAAGGAAGAGATAGAACATGATGCTTTGGTAGATGGAAACCTGGCTACAGAGGCCTACATGGTGGTGCTGGATACCCTGGAAATTATTGTGCAAGTAAGACTTAGCCTTACTCATTATGATAAAGCTTTGAGTTTCAGTAAATCTGTCTTGTCCTCTAAATGTGAGGTTTCTACTATCTCTGTTAGGGTGCATTCAGAACTGGTCTTAAAGAGAAAGGATCCTGCTTCCCGAAATGCATCTGATAAGTTTAGACCTAGACTTAGAATAACTTTATTGTCACTTTGAATGTACACTGATCAGCATACATTAAAATGAAATTTAGTTGCATAGGTCACCATCTTCAATATACACTACATAAACATGACAAAATAAATAAACACATAAATACAAAATTATGCATATACTGACATATGACACGGAGAAACAACACAATCTAGTTCATATGTATAGGTGTGCATGGCGAGAGAAATGAATCTTGCACGTTTACCAGATGGATGGCTTAGGGAACAAAGCTGTTACAGAGTATGATAGTCCTGCTAGAAATACTTTGAAATCTCCTCCCAGGGGGGAGCAACAAAGACAGACCATGAAGTGGGTGTATAGGGGTGTCTAACAATGCTTTGAGCTCTAACCACATAGCGCTTATAAGCAGTATCCTGAATAACAGTCACTGAGCTTCCTATAATCTTCTTGATTGTCCTTACTACTCTCTGTATGGACTTTCTCTCTGAGGCACTGCAGCCACCAAACCAAACATTGATGCTGTTTGTTAAAATGCTGTCAAGAAATTCCAGAAGAAACCAACATGGCTGCACAAAGATCTCTCTTACAAACTGAAAGACAAAAAGGACAAGGGGAGACAGAGAGAGAGAGAGAGAGAGAGAGAGAGAGAGAGAGAGAGAGAGAGAAGACTATCAGGAAGCTCTCACATTTTGTTGAGGCTTTAAACAAGATTCATTGGACCGGATCTCCACCCTAAAAAATTACTTTTCCCCAACGCATTACAGTGCCAATTCTGAAGAAGGCAAAACCAAAATGTACTGGTAAATTACAAGGAGAACACATACACACACACTCCCTTCTAACCCTGCTGGAGCAGGTGATTGGACTAGAATAGATATCTCATTATCTTTCTCCTCCCTCCCTTCCTCCTTTATTTCTTTTTCTTTCTGTCCCTTCCTTCCATCTCCCCCTTTCTTTGTCCCTTTTTCTTTCTTTCCATTTTCTCTTTCTTTTCTTCCTTCTCTCTTTCTCTCTCTTTCTTTTCTCTCTCTCTCTCTTTCCATCTCTCAGGCTCACCCCATTGACTTGGTGCACTGCTCCGCTTGGACTTGTTTGGGCAGGTCCCTCCTGTGCAGCGGGCTCAATGGGGTGGACCTGCGAGGCTGGCATCTAGAACACGGCAGTGGCAGCACATTTGAAAAGTAGAGCAAAGCCAGAGGTCAGTAATTTTTGCTGCAAAGAATCACAAAAGCTTCTGGGTTGTGCACAAGAAGGGGCACACATGTCAATGCAATTCAGCAACATAAAATAAAGAAATACAAATAAAAATCAACAAGAATTGGCAAAGCATCTCTGATCAGATTCTATTCACTACTAGAATCTAATCAGAGATGCTTTGCTGATTCTAGTCCAATGACCTGCTCCAGCAGGGTTGGAAGGGAGTGTGTGTGTATGTGTGTGCATGGCTGTCAAAACTCCAAAAACAGGTCAAATAGCTCTGGAGAGCCAGTCATAAATTAGAACACTTGCTAAACAACTGGCCATTTAGTAAGGACCACTTGTATTTGGTTTGCCAGTCACCTGGCCATGCCCACCAAGTCACATGACCACCAAACCACACCTAGCCACTCATGTGACCAGCAAACCACGCCCACCCAGTCATATGACGAATAAGCCATGCCCACCCAGTCACATGACTGGCAAGCCACACCCTCAAATTAGGCCATGCCCACAGAAATTTGAATCCCAACCCTGGGTGGGGGCCACCGAGGATGAGTTTGTAGCACTAAGGGGGCGGTGGACTGAAAAAGTTTGGGAACCACTGCTATAGACCAATCAGTCTAATATCAATACCTGGGACAATTCTGGAAAAGATAATCAAAAGATAGATATGCGAACAACTAGAAGCAAATAAATGTATAACTAATAGTCAGCATGGGCTTGTAAAAAACAGATTATGCCAAACCAATCTTATTTCATTCTTTGATAAATTGACTTAATTAGTAGACTAGTGAAATGCTCTGAACAGAGTATAGCTAGACTTCAGCAAGGCATTCAACAAATAGACCAAACCTACTTCTTGGTAAGCTAGAAAAGATAGACAGCATCATCACCAGATGAATTTGTACCTGGTTAATAAACTATATCCAACGAGTAATCCTTAATAGTACCATATCCCCATGGAGAGAAGTAAGTAGTGGAGTACCCCAAGGCTCCATCTTAGGCCCAGTACTCTTCCATATCTTTTGCATTTGCAGATGACACTAAACTGGCAGGAATACCCAAGACCCCAGAAGACAAGCTCAGGATCCAAAAAAATCTTGACAGACTTGAACCATGAGCCCTATCCAACAACATGAATTTTAATGTGGAAAAAAGGCAAAGTTTTACATTTAGGCAGGAAAAACCAAATGTAAAAGTACAAATTCAGCGAGACCTGGCTCAAAAACAGTACCTGTGAGAGGGACCTTGGAGTCCTAGTGATAATCACTTGAATATGAGCCAGCAGTGTGCAGCAACAGCCAAAAAACCTAACACAATCATGGGTTGTATAAACAGAGACATAGAATTAATATCTCATGAATTATTAGTACCACTTTATAAAACCCTGGTAAGACCACACCTGGAATACTGCGACCAATTTTGCTCACCATACTACAAAAAAGATGTTGCGACTTTGGAAAAAGTTCAGAAAAGAGCAACTAAGATTATCAAAGCCTGGAGACTAAAACATATGAAGAATGGCTGCAGGATTTGGGTCTGGCTAGTCTAAAAAAAAGAAGAATTGGAGGTGACATCATAGCAGTATTTTAGGGGCTGCCACAAAGAAGAGGGGGTCAAATTATTCTCCAAAGCACTGGAGAGCAGGACAAGAAACAATGGTTGGAAGCCCAATCAAAGAGAAGCAACCTGGAATTAAGGAGAAACTTACTAACAGTGAGTATAATTAACCAGTAGAACAGCTTGCCTTCAGAAATCGTGGATGCTCCATCATTGGATGTTTTTAAGAAGAGTCTAGACCTATCTAAAACAGTATAGGTTTTCCTGCTTGACTAGAAGACCTCCAAGGTCCTTCCAGCTCATTCATTCTTTTCTATACTATTACAATTCCTGTGTCTATAATAATAACTCTGATTATTCCTAGTCATGATGGTTCTCAGAAACGCACTGTTGAGCAAAATTCACTTAGTATGTTGGGTAAGGCTTGAAAATAAAGGATGATGGGTGGCATATAGAAACTGAGCTGGACCATAGATGTTAAGAAACAAAACATATCTATGACATAGGAGCTTCTCTAGGTTTCACTAATGACAATAAGTGAAGTACTAATACTTACAACAGGCAATCTGTCCTAAATAGAAAACCAGACCCAGTAATACTGAATAGGTTCTGCAAGCCCTCATATTACTAGCCATACTGAAGTCTCTGGTAAGTTTCTTTGCCTGCAAGCAGACTTCACATCTTGATGTAAAAATCTGAGTTATAAACTCTATAAAGGGATCCCACAATTTAGCAGGGACTTAATTGGTCTCCATTGCATTTCAAGGAAATTCTGTATCAAAAGAAATACAGTGCTTCTCAAATATTGTGCCAAATAGTTTTATTTATCATCTACTTCGTATAAGGAATCTGCAGATAATAAGGTAAGAAAATAGCTTTCTTTTAAATTTAAGAAATGTTACATTTCTTGTGATAAAACATTTCCTTAAAATACATTTGGTATCTCATTTACTTGTGCAGCTATCATTTTGTTCCTACGTTGTAATAAAGTGTGATAGCATGAAACACTCCTTCATTCTGCTGTGTAACGAATTCATTTTTTCTTCCTTCCCCTCCCCCACAGACAGTATCTGAAACCAAGGAGAGTGTCCTGGGTGGGGCGCTGAGGGTGCTTCTTCACAGCATGGGCTGTACACCTAGTGCTGCCTTCTTGCAACACTGTTTTGCCACTCAGAGAGCACTAGTGAGCAAGGTGAGTCTGCTTGGTAAGGAAAGTCTCATCAAATGCAGTTCCTTCCAGTCAATCTGCAACTTTTGCAAGGCTCATGATCTGCTAGGAGACATCTTGCTTGCCCAGATGCTTCCTTGTCTGAGATGTGTCTGCTATTGTCCATAGCAGATTTCCTCAGTCAGTATACTCCAGATGTGGAACAGCCCACATAGCAATAGCATTTCTATCTATTGCATTTCTATCTTTCTAAGTGGTTTACAGAGTCAGCATATTGCCCTCAACATTCTGGGTCCTCATTTTACCCACCTCGGAAGGATGAAAGGCTGAGTCAACCTTGAGCCTTGTGGGATTTGAACTGCCATATTGCAGGTAGCCGATAGTCAGCAGAAGTGGCCTGCAGTACCACCACTGCGCCACCAAGGCTCTTAAAAAGACTGTTAGTTGTTCAAAGTCCACTGGGAGGCCTGGGTTAGATCTTCCTGTTTTGAATGTTTTAATACCTTAGGGTTTAGAAGTGATACACAATTGGGTTGTATATTTCACTAATATAAATTGGGTGGAATCTCCAATACTTTCTACCCATCCTTTACAACAAACAGAGTGGGTATATTCTAGCCCCCTTAATTAAACATTGAGATTGCCTTTTCTGTTGCAGCACTTGCCCTTTAGAATAATATCCACCTAGAACAGTGTTTCCTACCTTAGCTGTTTTAAGATATATGAGCCTCAGGTCTTCCATTCTGGGAGTTGAAGTTCACACATCTCAACATAGCTAAGGTTGGGAAATATTGCTCTAAGATTTGTATAACTTCTACCCTGATTTATATTTAAAACCCGGCGGTTGCTTCAAGCCTTGAGCCCTTATAGGATTTCATTTGTTTAAAGGATTATATTTTCAGATATACTAGTTGGTGTTTCTTAGTATTTTATTATGTTTTAATGCTGTATGCTGCCCGGAGTCATATAGAATTTAGTGGACTTCCACATCTAATTAAATAAATAACAAATTAGAAAAACAATTTTTATCATTGTCAAATCAGATAACTTGAATCCCATGCTTACAGTTCCCTGAAATGCTTTTTGAAGAAGACACTGAACTGTGTGCTGATCTGTGCCTGCGTCTCCTACGCCACTGTAGTAGCAGAATAGCGATCATTCGCACCCATGCAAGCACCTCACTCTACCTTCTCATGAGGCAGAACTTTGAGATTGGCAATGTAAGTGCTATTGGGAAAAAGAGTTTATGTGTGGGAGCATTAAGGGGTAGGACAGTTCTCCATACAGCTGCTTTTTTGAGGGCAGAGCAGCAACCTTTTTCTCTCTTCCAATTTTCAATGTTTTAGGTCCATGACCAATTTTACATTACTTTTATCTGCTTGCTTATAATACATTTATTTCCTATTCACATGCTGTGTCTTCCTATTTTGTTGTCTCCCCCCAACTCCATTCTTTATTATTTATTTTTATTATTTTGTTATTAAGATAGATTGGGTTAAAATATACTGCTTGATTCCATGAGTTTTGTGTCAAGAAGAGACACAAAGCATTGCCAAGACAGTTCACCATGCTTGCCTGACCGTCATGTGTTTTTATAATATATAATATATGTATGTGTGTTTGTACGTGTGCGTGTGTATCAATAAAATATTTATGGCAACCCATGGTCTTACAGAAACTGAAAATGCCACCTTTTCAAAATGTGACAAGCCATCATCATTTCCATTATGCTTGTTTGCAAAACACTTAGCACTTCAGGGCATTTACCCAAGAAGTTTTTGCCTTAGGTTGGTTGGCTGAAGGGGCTAGATATGATGAAGAAAGCAGGGACTTTCTTTTTTATGTATGTCTGGAATTTTGTTAATGCTAAAAAGAAATACCTTTTTGAAATTTTCTTATACAGAACTTTGCCCGAGTGAAGATGCAGGTCACCATGTCCCTCTCCTCGCTTGTGGGAACATCTCAGAACTTCAATGAGGAGCACTTGAGGCGCTCACTGAAAACCATCCTTACCTATGCTGAAGAAGACCCGGAGTTGCGAGAGACAACCTTTGCTGAGCAGGTATTGTGCACAGTACCATAAATTGCTTGCAAGAGATTTGGGGCAAGACTTGGGCCTTGTCTTGGTTTGCCCTTACCCAGCTAGAAATATTACCTTTTTAAGATCCAAAGAACTTAAAACATTGCATTTCTCTTCTTCCTTCCTTCCTTCCTTCCTTCCTTCCTTCCTTCCTTCCTTCCTTCCTTCCTTCCTTCCTTCCTTCCT